AAAAAAAAAAAAAAAAAAAAAAAAAAAAAAAAAAAAGTACCCTTCCCACGTTTAAAAAAAAGTGCTCTATTGAAAAAAGTATTCATGATAATTTTGACCTGGTGGGCAAAAAAATGCATGTACACATTTTCTCGTGAATAACAACAGGAACCATAAAAATATTAATTAATAGTGGTCACGGTGTCAAGCGCAGCTTCGACAAGGAGTTATACACGACACGCCTTTTACTAAATGAGCTAAATTTACTTAAGACCACGGTGCATGCATTACAGAGTAACATGCGCGTCAATCTTGTAAGTGAATGACAAAATTGGGAAGCCACAACAAAGCATTGTTTCTGTGTGCCTGTGCAAATATACGTCAGTACATATGTGCTGTTGGCACTGAAAAAAATGCTTCTACGTTGATTGCGCATGTACTGCCCATTTTATACACTATTCCAACCCATTAAAATAACGTAAGTGTGCGCCCATTTGCTGTGACTACGTGCTTGTGAACATATATCCAGCTTTGCTGCTGAATGGTGACTCCAGACGAAGGACACCCACTTGAAAGAGGGGAAAAAGAACACCCTTTGTTAGAAGTAAGTGGGATGCCTTTAGCCCTCCAATTGACGGACGTACCCAAAAATAGACCTCTTTAAAAGTGCAAAGAATTTTCCGGCCATGTACGGGGTCATGCGCTTTTGTTTATTTTGTGTCGTGTGTGAACAGTTTTATTTGTTTGGTTCGGTTAGCCTTTAATTTGCAATTTTTTTTCGCTCTTTTATTTATTTTTATTCTGCTTTTTTTTTTTTTTTTTTTTTTATATTTTCTTCTAGCTATATTTTCACCACCATTTGGCTACTTTTTTATTCCAAATAGCCAAAACAGAAAAAAAAAAAAAACAAAAAAAAAAATGTCAGTCATATTTTTTTTTCCTCTTTTTTTCCTCTTTTTGTCCTTTTTTTTTCCTCCTTTCTTGATGTGCTTCTTTTCCACCCCCATTTTATATTTGGTGGAAGGAAATGTGCAAATTGTGAAGTTCTATTGAGCCACGCCAAAAATGGTAAAAAGAACTCACCACGAACAATATTCATGTTTTTTTAACTGAAACAAAAAACAACTTGCAAAATCACGTAAAATTTAGAACTACACAAATGATAACTATGAGAATTGTGAAATAATCCAAACTGATATTTTTACACATCCGATATTTTCATGTTGATTTTTCCTTTTTATTTCCCCATATTTATTATATTTTGTGTTTTTCAAAGCACGTTCTTGTTATTTTAAAACAGCATTGTAGTGTCCTGACCACATGCTTCATTCATTTTTATTTTGCGCGAAAGGATATGATTGAGATGCTCATGTATCCTAATAAGTTCGTGCAAACTTTGTTAGAGTTTATGCTACGCGCATGTACACATATAGGCCGGACACATTTTGATGTTTGGTCGTTCGTATTTTACTCGGCGTTTAAGCGAGCCATGTGCGCCATGCTTGCCTTCTGAATCACGCATATGCATGTATAACGCGTGAAGCTATATACATGTATATATATGTATATATGTGCACCTTCAGTTATCCGCCCTTTGTGCGTGTTCATTCACATATAGTAGTTTTCTATACACCGTTCACACGCAACAAACTATTTGAAACTGTGCTTTTATATGTTGGTACATACGCATACACATGTGTATATTTTTGCACTGTTCACTCGTGCGCAGTCAGCAAAAAGGTAATCGCATTTGTTACACCCTACGCAGGTGTGTGCCTCCGCGTTCAGCTACCATTACAATTTAAGAAACGAAAAAACCCAAGCACAATATATATCCACATATATAAACACTCATGTAATAATTTAAAAAAAAAAGAAAAAAGAAAATTTACAGGCACACAAAATTAGTAGATGATTTCCCCCCTTTTTTTTTTTTTTTTTTTCTTTCCCCATTTTTACTATGTGCATCTGTGTTATGATACCTTGTACACATGTTTTGCGTAGCCCTCTTTTTTATTGCTCCCCCTTCATGTGTGTACATATACCGTTTCATAAAATTTTCCATTGTGGTTGTACGAAGAGTGATGTTGTAGAGCAAGGTAGGAAAAACAAACGGCTCTTTTGTACCAGACCCCGTGTATATGTACACACGTACGTATGATGCGCATACGTTGGGAAGTCCCTCATTGTACAGCAAAGTGCAAAAATTGTGTATTACATTTTCTTTTTATGTTTAAGGGGTAAAAGAGAAAGTGGTAGAATTGATTTATTCCTCAATCATCAGCTATTTTTATAAAAATCAAATCAAATTTACCTTACGAAATCTATTTCGTATCGTTGATGGGCCATTGATTTAAGTTTATTTGTATTGCTTGTCTGATTTGCAAACATATACGCGCTTGTGTGCATGTATTAGTTAAGGACACAGCTGAACGAGCATCCTACCTTTTGCTCATGCGCAAAGGTAAAGATGCGTAATAGCTGATTCACAAAAACTGGTTGATGTGTTCCCACCTTTGTTTCTTTTTCGTGCATGTCTACTGCGCCTATAAAGAAGTTTCATTATTCATATATGTGTGATCTTTTACCATAGACAACTTGTACTTTTGGATTGATGTAGAGAATTGCAAACTAGAAAAAATATATATATATACATACGTATCTATGCACATGTGATGAATTCATGTGTCCACGTGCTCACGTGTCCATATACCCACTGACACAATATAATCCACACCATAGTAACTCCCCTTTGCACAATCCTGCCCATCTTGAACCGCCATTCAATCTAAATAATGGAGTGCGTTTCGCATGACAGTGGAAGCACAAATGCCGCAATATGTAGCAGGGAGTTAACAAATAGCAGTGGCAATTCCAAGCCGGTCGAAATGCATGCACATAAAAATGAGTTCGAAACAAGCCCCCACTGTGAGCAAAATGGCCAAGGAGCACTTAAGACAAGTAACAAAAAGAACGAAGAAAAGAATAGCCAAATGAATTACTCTACCCACAATGACCAGCCTGACAATTTTACAGTGACGCACACTTATTCAGCTACCAGTCAGAAAAGCAGAAAATTTGGACGCACCAAGAATTTTTCAAAAAATAAGGCAGATTTCAATAATTTGTTTTATGAAGAAAAATATGTCAACAGCAATTATGTGGAGAACGGGAAACGCTCCGATAGACATTTTACTCATGGGGGTCCAGGAAGTAATAGGGGGCTTAACGACAATCACCTAAGAAAAGGCACATCATTAGGAAATTGCAGCAGTGGCAATAATAATATGGCGGTGCACAATGCTGTTGAATCATTCGGGATGAACTATTCATGCGCAAGAATGAATGTGGCAAATGACGCAGAAGAAAAGTTCCTAAAACGGGTGGCTATCAATAACGAGAACTTAGTGTTAACTGCGGATAAATCAAACCTGGGCATGGTCGATAGTAGAAGTAGGAGAAGAGGTGCAAACTCAGAAAAACAGCCATTTGTCTTTACGAACAAACGGGGAACAACTGGAAGTTATAATGGTCCAAATGACAACATTGTAGAGTGCGCTAATGTTGATGATCGTGTGGCCGTGGAGCATTTGGGCGTGGATGGAAACATGTGTGGTGACATTATCAATGGTGAAGGCAACAGCAAGAAAAACAGCTTCCTTCGAAAGAGTAAATCCCTCAACAGAAATAATATTTACGAGAGAAAAGAGGACAATAAGCGGTTGGTATCCATCATGAATAGGGACACTGCGGAAGGTATGGACTACATGGACTTAACGAAAAAAGCTTGTTCTAATAACGAATTAAAATTTAAAGAAAAAAAAAAAGATGAAGCAAACTGCACAAGTAGGGAAGCGAATTACGATTTTAAGAGCGCCTTGAATGTCCAATTTTCTAAGACAAAAATGTGCCCATATATGAATACCAAAGAAAAGTGCAAACGGTTTTTAAGTAATATGTGCCCCTATGCACACGACCAAAGTGAGTTAAAGCCATTTCCCGATTTGTACAAAACAGCCATGTGTCGTAACTTCATGAAAAATTTATGTAATAAGTCGAAGGTTGAGTGCAATTTCGCACATGATGTGGAGGAGCTCAGATCCACGGATGAATTTTACAAAACGACACTGTGTAAGTTTTTCCTCAACGGGTACTGCAAGGCGGACACCAACTGCAGGCACGCGCATGGGCACAAGGAGCTGAAGTGTAAAGAGGCCAAGTGCACTGACGCGAAAGGTACAGAAGTGAACGATGAAGAGATGAACTGTAAGGAGGTGAACTGTGAGGAGATGAACGGTGAAGAGATGAACGGTGAAGAGATGAACGGTCAAGAGATGAAACATAGGAACCTCGGGAGTCTGTCCTGGGAGAGCGAAAGGGTGGACACGGAGAAGGCAAATAACAATGACAAGGAAGAGCAGTTACAGAATCCACATCATCATCACCAACAGATTGATATGCAACTGGGGCAAACTCTTATAAACGGAGAAAACATGAACCAGTTCAAGTCATCGGAAAGCTGCTCCCTGAGCGAGGGGAAGGAGGTAAGAATGATAAGAGAAGGGGAAGACTTTGCGGAGGAGGATTTGCTTGTCACAGAAGATATTGAAGAGCACGCAGCAGTAATGGACGTTATCGCGGTGGAAGGAAAACACATATCAAACACACGCGATAGGAAAAAAAATGATAGCAAAAAGAAAAAAGAAATATTCAACAACGTATCACGCAAACTCATGTCCATTAGCACGAAGGACACATACAGCTTTCTGTCAAATGGTTTGTCCAGAAACATGGAGTCGTCCGAAAATGTCGATGACGAAAATAAGAGTGTAAGGACGAATGATGATTCGACTCTCCCCCATAGCAATGGGGACTCCAAGATAAGGAGTTCAGACAGCGAGAATAGCTGTTTTAAGGGGGATGCCAACCCTGAGTATCAATTGAAGTCTAACGAGGCGATCTGCCGAATGGAGGTAAAGGATCAGGTTGTTAGCCACTCGTGTGTTGCAACTGGCAGGGAAGCCCAAAACGCAAGTGTCACTGAGCAAGGGGGCAACTCGGTTGATCATAAAGAGCAGGTGACAACAATTGCACCCTTTGGAGAAAGCCATAACACAACTGATGGAAAACAGGAAGGAGACAGTAGTAGCAAATTGACATGTTCAAATACGAACAGAGGTAGTAACGTAGTAGTGAATAGAAGTGTAGCTTTGAAAAAAGAGGGCAGGAAAATCTTTAACGACGATAATGCGAATGGAAGTAGACATAAAGTGAGCGTCGGTGGTGTGGGGAAAGGTTCGAACGACGCTACCATTCATCCGAAAATGGAAAGGAACAAAAATGCACGGGGCTACATGAACCCTAATTTTACCCCCATCGGTAGTAAAGGTGGCACAAGAGATTTTCAGGACAACATGGGGAATGGAAAATTAGGTCGAAATGTGCAAATTGATACCATTGAGATGAACGATGAAATGCGCCCCCCAAGTGAGATGCACTTTAGCACATTGTGTGATAATGGTATGTATGGTTATGATGGAGCCGTGGGACACACTGGGAATTGCGATGGAAGGGACAACAACAGTGGATATGTGCAGGAGAGGGGAGAGAAGTACACACTGGAGGGTGACACCGGTGAATACAACAGGATCGGTTACCAAAACAGGGGACTTAATAACACCGACAAGGGCATTGATGGCTCTGTGTTCGGCGCAAGCAGCGACGGTGGCAACGTCCACAGCGGGAGTAACAACAACTTTAACGGACCCGTTGATAACGGCGCCGATAACTACAACAGCGGCATGAGTAAACACTATGGAAATGGAAAACGGGCGAATGGAGGTACGACCAGGTACGATGGACATATTGGCAGTATGGACAGTAGCAATAATGGAGTGGCGAATAGTGGCGCGGCAAATAGAGGCTTTGCGGATAACGCCATGGGGAATGGTGGCTTTGCGAATAATAGAATGATGGGCAACAACCAGGCTAACAATAACCCCGTGAATAGCAACATGGGAAGGAAAAACTTGCGGAATACCCACGCAAGGAACACCACCCGAAATGTGAGAAACAGCGCGAGAAACAACATGAGGAACGGCGGCATGGCCACTTACGGTGCATATCCTAACGATCTTGTGGAGAATAATATGCGTACAATGCATTGCGAAAACGTCAACACCTACAACGGGAATTTCAGTTGCTATAGTGTCAACGAGGGGGACGCAAATGTTTACATGAACGTGAATAATTTCCCCTACAATAATATAACCCAGGGCTTCAATTGCAATGTTGTTGGTGGACCACCCAGCAGGATGGACCATACCAATTATGGGGGAAATTATGGTGCTAATTGTGGTAGTAATTATGGGGGTAATTATGGCGACAACTATGGCGGTAATTATGGCGGCCATTATGGAAACCTTGGTAGCGGTCCAGACGGCGGAAACCACAATCCGTACCTTCCACAGGATTATGCTCCACCCATCTGTAACAATATAATGAAGCAGAGTAGAAATTATAAAAGTAAGAAAAGGAGTGTACAAAATAACATGCCGTATGGAATGAGCAATAATGGAAACTTTGAACATAATAGTGGGTGTGATCGTAATGGCAACATATATGGTGGAGGTGGTATGAAACAGGACTTGAATTACAACTCTCATGGTTTTAGCTCCAATGGCATGATAGGTAGTATGAATATTGACCACTTTGACGGAAACATGTATGGAGATATGTTCATGAATAATGGTCCAAGGAACAATCACCATGACTGTGTCAATAACATGTACGACAGTGGCAATGGAAATAATTATTACCCCTACGGCTACGATACCAGCGGGACGCATGTAATGAACATCCCCCTTGAAAACAGTGCAGATGTGCACAGTGGCCACATGTACAATACGATGAGTGCGTATGATTTTTCAGATGGACAGAACGGTGAGCATGATGGGATGCAAAACGGGGCGCACCACGGAGCGCATATCTCAATGCAAAACAGATCATATTATGGTGCACATAACGGAATGCAAAACAACACACCTGAAACTTTCAGACAAATGGACAAAAAAGCGAATAGCGGAAATATGGATGCTATACATGGAGGCAGAAATAGGAAGGGCCGCATGAGCAACAATACCTATAAGGACACGTACAAGGGTGCTGACGAAAATTTTACTCACGCGATAAACGGCGCAGATGGGGCACAACTAGGTCAACCCTTTGCATGCAACCCTGGTGTGCACGATGAAACCAACCTTGACAATGGCAGCTTCTTATCTAGGAAGACAGGAGGTTGCCCCTCGAATAGTGTAAAAAGTGGACACATGACAGATGCAGCCGAACTGAAAAGAAATAATTATGATGAAACGAACTTAGGCACAAAGAAATCGGAGCACATCGGCAAGAGCGAAAAGGAGAATAGGACAGAGGGTCGCAGTGGTGAACACGACGCAAAGGAGATGAATCGCACTGCATACTGCAGCAGCTTCAATGCGAAAGGTAAGACGGACAAGTCAGAACAAAGCGCGCAATTGCAAGATAATAATCGTGGTAACAGCAAAGAGTGCAATACTCGCCACAACCGAAATGGAAGCAAAAATGGAAGGATCAATGATGGCATGACGATGCGTGATTTGGATGGAAGCACTAATCGAAGCACGCTGAAGACTCTCGCTGCGTGCATAAGCCCCGTGAACGGACCAGGGGACCAGTCATCATTATGCGAAGGTGGCCAAATGGAAACTTGCACCGTAGAAAAAATGAAACCCAACAATTATGATTCAACGGGTGAACGTTTCAAAAGTGGTATCTTAAAAGGTAAGATTCCACGAGGAAGGGGATTGCGAAATAGGAGAGAACAACCTGGGGAATACCAAAGTAGGGGTGAGTATACTGGAACGGAACAAAACAGAGGGGAGAAAAATCAGGAGGAGATACAGACACAGCTACAAATACCTGACCATCAGGGTAACTGTGGTATGATTAACCCAGATAACAAAATTGAAAGTTTTTTAATGCACGAAGAACCCCAAACGTGTGTGTCTTGCTGTCAGTGCATTACAGATCCCACACAGGGGGAACTTATACCAACAAATCCGTGCGGTTTTATATTTGAGGAAGCAATAAATAAATCGCTGTCTTTGATGATCATAGAGTTATTGCAGCCACAGGTGCAACACCTACTTTCGGATGTCAATTTTTATGTGCAAAATTATTACGACTGATGAGGTTCGGGGGACAGTGTACGTGTTATATCTGTATGGGGACACCACACAGTTACGTGCATGTGAGGGTATCGCTTATGACGAAGGACGTACGAAGGAGAGGACAATAGCCCGAGTTACTGGCGGGTAGAACAGATTGTGCAAATTGATTATTTTTTAGAGAGCGGATGAATGAAAAAGCAAAAACCCCGATTGTCCGTTCTGTTCATTTCTCGCTTATTGTGTTCCTTTCATTTTTTTTCATGTCTGTTACAGTCACCCTTCAACCATGTGGCGGGTCCTTACTACTTTTGTACCCCTTTTAAATTTTGAATTTAAGAGGAGTTTCCCTGCTTTAAATTATATAAGATATCTCCCCTCCGTTTGTCTCTGAAAATTGTGTGGCCCTTTTTTATTTTTTTTTTTTTTTGTTTTTCCCTTAAGTATGAAATTCTTTTGATTAAGAAAGAGGACTCGGAGTGCATGTAGTATATGTAGGGGCATCTCTCCATGTGGGGAGGAACATCTTTTGCCCCACCTGCGCATTTAACCCTTACAAGCGTTGATTGTATTCCTTTTTCCAGTGTTACCGCGCCCAAGCTGAGCGGCGGTGCGCATCTGTGTATATGAGCGCATGTCCATGTAGATAGAAGTACACACGAGTGTAGGATGTAGGTCCGGCTAGGATTGCATATCCATGTTGCACTGATGCGTACAAACATCGTTAAGGAAACCGCGGGAACCTGATTCTCATTAAAAACGTTAACTTTGATTATTCCATTTTGTTAACCTAACTTGGTTCCTAAGTCACCATGCTGTGCCGTTCCTCCACCGGGAAGAAGGCAAGGTTTCGGCATTTTTGCGTCAACATTTATAATATTGCGCACGCGTACAAAGTTGATGTAGCATTTTTTTTTTTTTTTTTTTTGGTGTTCATAATTTTTACCAAGTGGGGGGAGGGAGTACAACAATACGCACAACAAAAGCACAAGGGCTTATTTTAATGTCCTCATGTGAGAAAACACAATTAATGTGTGAAGGGCTCATTTTAGCAACGGAGGACTTGGAACAGATGAGTGCTCCCCGTAGGAACAACATTTATGGCTAAATGCAATTGTGTATGCATTGGTAGCGCGCCTTATCTGTGGATATCCAAGCCCATATGGCACTCCTACATATATACATATATATATACATACATATATATTATGTAGGTGCTTGCGCTGCGACTACAACTTGGGTTGTTTTCCTTTGTGCATTTGTGGTTTATACATTTAACACCGCGCCTGGTGCACATGGGCGAGCTGGATAATAGCACCAGCGGACGGCGCGCAATTTATTTTAATGGTGCCACAAAAAAATCTCTTTTTTACATGCACTGGATTTGGTAAGCACATTTATATGGTTGTATTTTTTGTTCGCCAACACGGCGTGCATTCAAAATACTCACAAATTTGTTTCTACCAAGTGGAAAAAGGGATATGTGACAATTTGCATATGCAATATATATCCACCATATGCACTTCTCAACCTAGAGAATAAATCATAAGCCTTGTGCTACCTTTTTTTTTTTTTTGGGGGCCTCTCAAAAATTATATGCTTAAAGTTTATATATACTACACCGTATTCAGCACTGTCGTGTTCATGTGGGGTGCCATGCAAAACGTGGATATTGGCGTTCAGGTCGGTACAGCATTGTTCAATTCAGTAAAAATCGCAGTGGGCTTACCCCGCCGTGTGGGCATCGGAAGGGAAAAGGAGCCCCGAGTGGTTTTAGGATTCTATTGCAATATTCTATTTATACATTATTATATATATGTGGGCCCTTCCAACAATGCGCAGCGTCACAAAAAAAAAAAATTATATAACGGGTTAAAAAAAGAAAAAAAAAAAAAATTATATAACGGGTTAAAAAAAGAAAAAAAAAAAAAATTGCGGATTATTTTTGTAGATCTCCTTATACCGTTGAGAGGGGTAATATAAGGCAGGGGGTGCAACGCCTCAAAATAAAAGCAAATTTTGAAATGTTGAAAAGGTTGTACAAAAAAAGTTGGCCTCATTGTACATGTATGAAGGAAAAAATAGCTGAAGAAATGAAAAAGTAAAAAAAAAAAGGTATACATGTATATACATATATATATGTATAATGTTATATGCATAAGCGGAGTACAGGTAGGGAAAAACGAACCACAACAAACACCTAGTTAATGCAATGACAGATAGGCAAAGATAGATAAACAAGAAGAGAAAGAAAAAATGTAATTTTAAATGCCCCAACTCCCTATAAAAAAAACAAACAAAAAAATGAATGCTGCACTTATATATTTTTATTAATTCCTGATGTTTTTTTATGCTTAAGTCATTTTTTTTCGAGATGCATATTTTTGAAGCCGCGAAAAAATATATAAACAAAAAAGAATAATATTTTTTAATTAGTTATAAATTATGCATATAATAATGTATTCTTTATTTTTTCTTTTAGCATTTTTCTTTTTTATTTTTTTTTAATATACATTTTTCTATTTTTGTCATTTTTGTACGTGCTTTTTATTAATATATTATTTATGCAGTGGTAATTTTATTTTCGATAAACTTTTATTTTGTTAAAAATAAAAGTTATGGATGATAGGCTGCCGCTGTTTTTTGAATGATACCACTTTGATGAAACAGTTAGGTATACAAATATTTACGACATTGTATAGATGAGGACTTCTATATTGTAAGTTTTTTTTTTTTTTTTTTTTTTTTTTGCATTTTACCACATGTAGAGGTTTTATATGTTGTACTTTTTTATCCGAATATCTTCCTTATTTGTTGTGCTTGTTGTTCATATCACATTTTTGTGTGCATATGGATATGGCTAGCCAGTGTTGTACCCCAAGAGTTCAAGTGAGCCGCGCTGAGTACATGGTTAATACAGCTGTATGTAGGCATATACCTACATGTACAAGTACATAAGTTTGTTTGTACTCTTGAACTTGCCGCGCGCCTCAGTTTGAAAGCCTTAAAGTCGTTTTAAATGCGAAGGAGGCGAAAAGGAAAGCAATATCTCGCTTGACTGACCTGAAATTTTGCGCCCATCAACATAATTGTTTTATTAGTACCCAGTTCTCCGTTGCGGGTAACATTGTTGTATAATTAACTGGGCCTCGAGCGTTCACTTTATGCATTTGTGAACAGAACGCTTTTTTAACGTCGGGCTTCATAACTCTTACGTCCTGTTCCGTTTTGTTCCGCCTTTTTTTTTTTCTCCCCCCCTTTCCCGTAACTTCTCACCGTTTGAGAATTTCGGGGAGATTGTTCCGTATCCGTCCCGATGCTGTGAATGTGATATATGCACACGTACTGTGCATTCCTATGAGCTTCTGTCGTGCGCAGTAGTGTGCGTATCGTGAGTTCGTAATCAAAAACCTGCCGCACGTGTGATTTTGTCTTAACGAGGCAGCTCGCGGACAGCGCACCGTTTTATAATTGTAGCAGCCTTTTTGTGTTTGTATCTTGCCCCCACCGTCCCACCCCTCCTTAACGCACTTTATGCCTCCCCTGTCCCCCGCCGTATTAATTATCGAAAATGAAAACGGATCAAAGAAATGCCTCGGACAATAGCACCAGAAGTAACAACCTGAGTATTAAAGATGAAGTGGAGAAGGAATTAAACAAGAAGGGTACTTTTGAATTGTATAAGAAAATAAAGACGCAGAAAATTCCCTTCTTTTTACCGTTTAAATGTTTGCCATCAAGTCATAGGAAGTTATTAGGGGTATCGTTTCTGTGCGCCACGATATCAGGCGGCACCTTACCCTTCTTCGTGTCAGTTTTTGGGGTGATTATGAAAAATATGAATTTAGGAGAAAATGTAAATGATATTATATTTTCCTTGGTCCTCATTGGAATAATGCAATTCATTCTGTCATTCATTTCGAGCCTTTGCATGGACATTGTAACGACCAAAATATTGAAGACGCTGAAGATAGAATTTTTAAAAAGTGTATTTTATCAGGATGGCCAATTTCATGATAATAATGCGGGGTCAAAATTGACATCCGATTTGGATTTTTACCTAGAACAAATCAATGCAGGAATTGGAACGAAGTTTATCACCATATTTACGTACACCAGTGCATTTTTGGGTTTATACTTTTGGTCCCTATTTAAGAACGCCAGGCTGACCCTATGCATTACGTGCGTGTTTCCCCTGATATATGTCTGCGGTGTTATTTGCAACAACAAAGTGAAACTTAATAAGAAAACATCTCTCCTGTATAATAACAACACCATGTCCATCATTGAAGAAGCATTAGTTGGTATCAGAACCGTCGTTAGCTATTGTGGTGAAAATACTATATTGAAAAAATTTAATTTGTCAGAAAAGTTGTACAGCAAATACACGTTAAAGGCAAATTTAATGGAGTCTTTACACATTGGTATGATTAACGGGTTCATTTTAGCATCTTATGCTTTTGGCTTTTGGTACGGAACGAGAATTATCATTTCAGATTTGAGCAGTAACACTCCTAATAGTGACTTCCACGGAGGATCAGTCATCTCCATCCTTCTAGGTGTACTCATCAGTATGTTTATGCTGACTATCGTTTTGCCAAACATAACGGAGTATATGAAATCTTTGGAAGCTACGAACAGTTTGTACGAAATTATCAACAGAAAGCCTTTGGTCGAGAATAACAATGATGGAAAGAAATTAAAAGATATTAAAAAAATTCAATTCAAGAATGTACGTTTTCATTATGATACTAGAAAGGATGTTGAAATTTACAAGGATCTGAATTTTACTCTGACAGAAGGAAAAACGTATGCATTTGTTGGAGAGTCTGGTTGTGGAAAATCCACCATCTTGAAACTAATAGAAAGATTGTATGACCCAACTGAGGGAGATATCATTATTAACGATTCTCATAATTTGAAAGATATAAACCTGAAATGGTGGAGATCCAAAATCGGAGTTGTTAGCCAGGACCCACTTCTCTTTAGCAATTCCATAAAAAACAATATCAAGTATAGTTTGTACAGTGTGAAAGATTTAGAAAATTTATCAGAGGAATCTACTGATGATGGTTTCGCTTCTGAAAATGGTACCAACTACAATAGCTGCAAAGCCCAATGTGCTGGTGATCTAAAGGACATGATGAAAACGACCGACTCGACTGAACTGTTACAAGTGAGGAAGAACTACGAAACGATTCAAGATTCCGAAGTTGTCAGTGTTTCTAAAAAGGTGCTAATCCACGATTTTGTATCCGCTCTTCCAGATAAATACGACACACTAGTGGGTTCTAATGCATCCAAATTGTCCGGTGGACAGAAACAAAGAATCTCCATTGCTAGAGCCATTATTAGAAATCCCAAAATTTTGATCCTCGATGAAGCTACCTCATCCTTAGACAACAAATCAGAGTACCTAGTGCAGAAAACGATAAATAATTTGAAAGGAAATGAAAACAGAATTACAATCATTATTGCCCACAGATTAAGTACCATCAGATATGCTAACACCATTTTTGTTTTGTCCAACCGAGATAATGGAAATAGTTCCACCATAGATGTAGATGTGATTGGCGAGGACCCAACCAAGGACAACAACGAAAAGAAGGGAAAGAAGGACAAAAAAGGTGACAAAAAACAAAACCAAAAAATGAATAACGCAGGAAGTTACATTATCGAGCAAGGTACACATGATTCGCTGATGAAAAACAAAAATGGAATCTACTACACCATGATTAATAATCAAAAGGTGTCTTCCAAAACTTCTAATAACAACGATAATGACAAAGACTCAGATATGAAGAGCAGCGTTTATAAGGACTCCGAACATGGTTACGACATAGACGACATGAACGGCAATATGAAAAATGGAAATGAAAGTTCATCCGCCAAAAAGGGTGACAAGATGAATGATGCGGATGCAAGTAACACAAATGCTGGAGGAAGATTTGCCTTTTTGAGAAATATGTTTAAGAGGAAACCCAAGGCTCCAAACAACCTCCGCATGGTGTACAGAGAAATATTTTCGTATAAGAAAGACATTGCCATTATAGTCCTGAGCGTTATCGTTGCTGGAGGTTTGTATCCCCTGTTTGCTCTGCTTTATGCTAAGTACGTTTCAACGCTCTTTGATTTTGCAAACCTAGAGGCGAACTCCAATAAGTACTCTCTCTACATCTTAGCCATTGCTGTCGCCATGTTCATTTCTGAGACGCTGAAGAATTACTACAACAATGTGATAGGAGAGAAGGTAGAGAAAACGATGAAACAGAGACTCTTTGAAAATATTTTGTACCAAGAAATTAGTTTCTTTGATCAAGACAGCCATGCCCCAGGAATGCTCTCATCACACATTAACAGAGATGTACATTTGCTGAAAACTGGTTTAGTAAATAACATTGTGATTTTTTCGCACTTTATAGTACTTTTCCTTGTTAGTATGGTTATGTCATTTTATTTCTGTCCAATTGTGGCGGCTGTGCTGACCGGAACGTACTTTATCTTTATGAGAGTATTTGCTATTAGAGCAAGAATGCAGACCAACAGCAAAGATGTGGAGAAGAAGCGAATGAACCAACCAGGCTCAGTGTTTTTATACAATAATGATGATGAAATATATAAAGATCCAAGTTTCCTAATTCAAGAAGCATTTTACAATATGAACACTGTTATTATTTATGGGTTGGAGGATTATTTCTGTACTCTGATTGAGAAGGCCATTGACTATTCGAACAAAGGACAAAAGAGAAAAACTCTAGTCAATTCAATGTTGTGGGGTTTCAGCCAGAGTGCCCAGCTTTTCATTAACAGTTTTGCTTACTGGTTTGGTTCCTACCTAATTAGAAGAGGTACAATAGAGGTAGATGATTTTATGAAATCCTTGTTTACCTTTTTGTTCACCGGAAGTTATGCTGGAAAGTTGATGTCCCTAAGAGGAGACTCAGAAAATGCAAAAGTGTCCTTCGAAAAATACTACCCATTGATAATGAGAAAGTCCCACATTGATGTTAGGGATAATGGAGGTATTAGAATTAAGAACAGTAATGACATAAATGGAAAAATAGAAATTATGGATGTGAATTTCAGATACATGTCCAGACCAAACGTCCCCATTTACAAAGACTTGACGTTCTCCTGTGAGAGCAAAAAAACGACAGCCATTGTTGGAGAAACGGGTAGTGGAAAATCTACCGTAATGAGTCTGCTAATGCGATTCTACGATTTGAAAAATGACCACCATATCGTTTTTAAAAATGAAGACAATGATGATATGAACAAGGACCAAATGGAACAGGGAGATGAAGAACAAAATGTCGGAATGAAAAATGTAAACGAATTCAGTTCAGCAAATGAAAATGCAGATGGGCAGAGCAGTGCTTTGTATAAGAACAGTGGAAAGATACTGTTAGACGGAGTTGATATCTGCGATTATAACTTGAAAGATTTAAGAAGCTTATTTTCCATCGTGAGCCAAGAACCCATGCTCTTTAACATGTCCATTTATGAAAACATCAAATTTGGAAAAGATGACGCCACAAGAGAGGATGTAAAACGTGCTTGTAAATTTGCTGCCATTGATGAATTTATTGAATCCTTACCAAACAAATATGACACGAACGTAGGACCCTATGGAAAAAGTTTATCAGGTGGACAGAAACAGAGAATTGCTATTGCTAGGGCTTTGTTAAGAGAACCCAAGATTTTGTTGTTAGACGAAGCTACGTCATCTCTAGACTCCAATTCAGAGAAACTCATTGAGAAGACCATCGTTGATATTAAGGATAAGGCCGACAGAACAATTGTTACCATTGCGCACAGAATTGCTTCCATTAAGAGATCCGACAAAATTGTCGTTTTTAACAACCCAGATCGAACTGGCTCCTTTGTACAGGCACAGGGAACACACGAGGAGCTCTTATCCGTGCAGGACGGCATTTATAAGAAATACGTCAAATTGGCTAAGTAGAGGTGAAACGGTGGGTTGGGCATATCACCCCCTTTTGCTTGTTATAACGACATGGACACACTCTGGGCCGCACTACGCGCAAACATTCCGCATCGATCGACGGCTATGAAATGCAAATAAAGATGAGAAGTGAAAAGGACGAAAAATGCTGAGTGCAAATAACGAAGGCAAAGGCGAGACGTGCCCACCTCTGCATGGGCATAATCCGCTCGTGCACGCTAGAGCGCATAGGGTTCAACATCCCGGTATAAAAAATGTATATACAATTGTTTATTAAAAAAAAAAAAAAAAAAAAAAAAAAAAAATGCTGCGCCCATTGCTACAAACGAGAACCCTTTGAATTGTGGACCCAGCTTATTTTATGATGTGTTTTCAGGGACCAATTCCCCTTTTTTGTGTGTAAAAAAAAATATTTTTCGCATATGGTGAGCATATGAGAGAAGGCGCCACGTGCATTTGTACAAATAACATGTGCCCTACGCATGTGTGTGCACGTGCACAGATAACATGTATACATGCACATGTACGTGTGCACCTACATTTTACTTACATATTTTTTTCCCTTTTTTTTTTTTTTTTTAATGTATATGCTTGTTTAACTGAATTTTTTTTTAACTTTGAGATTTAACCAATATACGAAAAATTTTGTGCACACTACTTTTTGGACCACATGCGAAAAAAGAATTACGGAATCGAAAAGAGGCTAACCTTTTCCCTTTAACCTTAATCGTGGATCGACGGTGACCCAATACCTCTTAACTGCAGTAAACAGATTTAACCGCGCGCATGAGTGTTAGTCTTTTGCCCTAGTTATTAAGCGCATCATTTGTAGCACACATGTCGTTTGTGCGCTGTCTTGCTCGTCACCACCCACAAGGTGAAAATTTTTATCTTCATCGAAAATGAAATTTGCACCATCGCACCTCGCCCCGGGTAAAACCAATTTGGATCTTTAAAGGAAAAAATGTGCGTTTTTTATTTTCCGTTTCGCTTATTCATTCTACGATGTTATATACAATTTGGGTGTGGGTAAGTGAAAAAGAAAGGGTAAAAAAAAAAAGATGTGCCAAATGGGTAAGTCACACTCCTTGGGAAAACAGGCAATCCCCGGATTGCACTTTTCACATTCTCATTAAAGCATATTTGATGTTTCAGTTTTGTGCCTTTAAAGAGTCGCTTCACGGGGGGTGGGTGTACGACTCCACAAGCCTTTATACAGGCATCCCGTGCGCACACTTGGTGAATGTAGATTTTCATATGGGTAACAAAACCATATGTGGCTACATTTTTGCATGGAGCAAAAAATTTGTGTATACCCCCCATGGGGAAGTACTAAAAAGTAGAAGGCAAAAAAAAAAAAAAAAAAAACAGGGATGATTCTGGTGGAATCGAACAACCGTTTTAGCCTAAAATTTTGCATATTTCGTCGTAGTGAGGAGAATGGTTAATGTTACCATACACAACGACGGTTGGCTTGGTTTTCAAAAAGTCCCCTACGATTCGGTTTATGTCTTCCTTGGTTACTGCATCAATAGCGTCACATAGCTGTTTTCCGGACAAAACACGATTTAGAATCATCATTTGTCTGGCCAAGTCCTCCATTAGTATAGACTTATACTCTAAGCTCATCCACATGAAGCTTTTCAAACTTTTCTTTGCTCTATTTAATTCCTCATCGGTAACTTTATTCATTTTTTGAAATTCCAAAGCCATAGCATTTATAATGTCCATGGTGTTAGCTGGTTCTCCAGTGAAGTATAGTCCAAACAAACCCGTATCTGAATGTTGTGTGCTGAAGGCCATACAAGATTCTATGAAATTATAATTGTTCAAAACATTTAAGAAGAGTCTAGAGTACATTCCTTTTCCTGGTCCTCCTGTGGAGAAAGAGCCACCTCCACCCATCAGTGTTTGCAACACAGTTAGTGTTATCATATCTGATGTCTTCCAACCACCTTTCGTTTCGTACGCGATAGCAATGTTAGTCTTTTTAACATTTTTATCTTCTACGCTTACAAAGCCACCTGTATATTTTGGAGTCACTTCCTTCTGGTTTGTGTATGGTATAGACACATAATCTTGAAATGCTCTGGACGTCCATTTGGTTAATTCCTCATGGTCTACATTGACACCAACTAGGGTCATATTTTTTGGAGAGAAGTGTTTGAGCATGAAATTTCTTAAATTACTAGCCGTGTAATTCTCTACACTAGATTCACACACATATAGCTTATTCCCTAAGGTGTTATTATACCATGCGGTATTGTGCAGAAGTTCAGTTATGTATAGTTCGTTGTTTTCAAATAACTTGGTGCGCATGGTGTTGAGTCGATTTACATTATTTTTCATTTCCCATGATAAAAAGCGAGGAAATAAAACGTTTCCAATTAGTAGGTTTGTCACTACGGGTAGGTACTCCTTCAAGCATTCACACGTGTACACTATGTGCTCACGAAAAGCGTTGCAGCTTACGTTCGCCCCAATTTTTTCAAGCGATTTGATCGTCCTCAGGTGGGACAGGTGCGCTGTGCTGTGGAAAGCCATGTTCTCGAGCATCACGCTCATGCCCTGTTCGTTCACCTGGTCATTTATTTCTTCATACCTGGATCCGCACTTCACATACAGCCCTACGGGGGGAGAGAAGCGGTGGTGAGCGATATTACGCAACGCAGTCATGCAACAAGCACATGCAAGCCGATATGTAGGAGAATCCACTTGAAAGCAGTGCGCCCCGCTCAGAAGCCTGTCTTACCTATTGAGCAAACGCTGTTGTTCTTGTTGGTGGAAATAATCTTTAGGTCATTTTCCAAAACTGAAAAATGTAACTTCTCGTCAACCTGCTTGAAGGGAGGCAACTCCGACTCCTTTATGACAGCAATGTTGAGGGGAATGTCTTTATAGGTGTTTTTCTTTCCTTCATTAAAATAGTAGTAATCAAATTTCACCTCTTTAATAATGTCTTCAATTTTCTCCTTCTTGAACGCCACTTTTGCCAAATTATGTTTTTCCCCTGTGTATAACTTTTCTAAGTTGGGATTCCTTTTCACTTTTAGCACTTCACTACTGTATAGTTGTTTCCCTGCTTTGTTCCTACACAGAACTAATTTGAACTTTTGTACATTTGCGTTCATTTTTGTGTATAATAAGTAAGACAGATACAAAAAAAAAAAAAAGGGAAAGGGGATGGGTGGACCCCAACTGCTGCGCCCGTAGTTACTAGGTGGGAACAAGAAGCACTTAGGGTGATTACACGGGTAAGTGGATATGTGTTTGTTGGCCCATATGCCTTTTCTCACACATGTGTGTAACTCTAGCTTGTACTCGCCTTCCGTGGCATGTTCACGCAGACTCAGTCTCCAAACAGTGGAAATGGTGTAAATGGCCGTTTCCGCGGGACACAAAAATGTACACTTTTATACAATAATAAAATGAGGGGGGAATTCACTGAAAATTTATTGCTTCCCTTTTTCTAAAAAAAAAAAAGGAAGTATCGAATGTGCATTTTCTTCTTTTTTCCTTTGTGTTTTTACCCTTCCTTTATTTCCTACTTGTTTACCTATTTAATTCAGCACATATCATAATAAATGAACGATGGGCTTATATTGGGCGATATAACAAAAAAGAAAAAGGGAGTGACGAAGGAAATTCACGATTTGGGGGTACAATATCTCCTTATCGGGAGCAGGGTTAAGCATAACTCTGTTCTTCTTTGCGCAATACACGTTCAAGCACATTTTGAATAAGGGTTATTTGTTTACGCAACACGGCACAGAGATAAGCCTTTTCATTTCACCATTTTTTCTTCAATAAAATGGGTGTAATATATTTTAACGAAGAAGAGCAAAACGGGAAAGAAAAAAAAAAAAAAAAAACAAAAAAAGTCAGCAGGGTGAATACTCCACATGGCGACACGCATACGTAAATTGGTTTATATATATACATGTGCATATATAAATTGAGTTATGCGTACATTTATGTGTTCGTTCCCACCGCCTATATATGCTTGAGGAAAACTATATTTTTTTTTGGTGCTAAGCTTAATACGCTTGCCCATCCCGTTGCACCACTAAGTTTTGCAGATCAACGCGCCATTTTGGGAAAATATATAAATCGCGCATACCCACCTGATCATTTCGCTTCATAGCAGTTCTGATACCTTAACATTGATCAACTGCGTTACTGTAGGAGGGATATAAACAGTTGTGGGCCCTTTTTCCATTCTTCACAATTGTGTTCACATGGCGTAGAAAATTCGTTTCTCCCGGCGGGAATGTGCCTGTGTCCGCCTGAGATGAAGCGCATTACACCTGATCACTGGTGATGTATGCAAAGTGAACGTAGTACGTAAAAGGGCAACCGTGTGACATTCCCCGAGTGGCACATTGGTCCTACCGCCCTGCGCGACGCTACGTGTACACATGTATCGACTTGTGCAGCGGCGCAACCACATGTGACTGCTTCATTTTTTGCCACCACCATTACGCTCCCTTTATACTGCCGCTTCAAATCCCATTACACCGCGCAAAAGTGGACAAAATGAGACGGACAACGCAGGCCGTACTGCTCATCATGTAGAAAAAAGCAACAATTATGAGAAGCATAAAAAATGAATTGTTCCGCAGGAAGAGTCACACATTCTGTGATTTGAAGCAAAGCTGCTGTTTGAGTTCAGTGTGGGGAGGAAGCATACAGGGGAGAGGGGCCCATTTCTTGAAGCCCTGCATGGGGGAAAAACACACCATCGCAGGAAAAACGAACCCCAAATGTGAAAATACGGAGAGGGGAGTCGTATCACCACTTTTTAACGGCAAACCTGGTGATAATTTTACGAATGGCAAAGCAGCATCATTTGGAAATGCTCACCAAAAGGGGAATATTGGTGAACTTCTTAAACATGCTGCGCATTACGTGAAGGCCCACGGGGGGAAAAGAAGCAAAATGAGTGACAATGCACTGCGCGTAGTAGAGCGCATTTTTAAGAACAACCTACTTGTCCACAATTTAAGCTTTATCCATTTTAATATGCTCCTGATGGTTATTAGCAAAGGTGAAATAAAAATGAGTAAGCAAATGCAAAACGGGATTCTGCACTTACTACACAAGCATATTTCATCCCACCCAAGTGATATTGACAATACGAATTGCGCCTGGATTAACATAATCCATTTACTGTCCAGTATTTGTAAAAATGATAAAACTATGTTACGTTTAATTAGGAGAAAGTATGACAATGTAGCTAATGAGGATATAAAAAAGGATGGAGGTCTTCCCTTTGTGGATAAATTTGTACGTAGAATATGTGAATCCAATGATTTCAATTATTCGATAAGAGAAATGTCTTTACTCTTGCACAGCTGTTATCATTTAAACGTTAGAAGTTACGAACTTTTTGATGCCATTTTTTATAAACTACAAAAAGAGGAGCACATTTTTAATTGTCTAGATGTTCACATTTTTGTGTACGCCGTTTACAAATTACAACTGCAAAGATATGCTCCCTTTTTGGAAAAGTTAAAAAAAAATATTTTGGAAAACATATACAATTTTTCAAGCGGGCAGATGGTAAATATATTGTTAGCTTATACATACTTCTACCTCAAGGAGGGTAAGGGGAAATTTTCCTTGAAGACAGATCCGTTTATGAGTACCATTTATAACACCTGTTGGAATATGGTAAGTAATCTGTCCAATAGGGAATTTTGTAACTTTCTCAATTTTATTGTACAAAATGAAATTAGCTTAACTGATGAGCAACGATCTCATTTGTTTGGCATCATTTTTAATTTACTGAAAAATCAACAGAGCAACAAATTAAAGCTTAACCAGATGATTGACTTGGACGTTTTCACGATTGTAAATTTTGTTTACAAGTATGGCAATTGTGAAAACACATCATACATGAGAGATATGCCGTTCGAGCATTTGGACCATTTGACTACACAAATAATTGAGAAGAATAAATTTACACCAAATTTGCTTGTATACCTGTTGCATTTTTATAAGCAGAGGGTGGCTAGCTACACTCATGCACATTTTTTGAAGCACATTTGTGTGAACTCCCTCGATTTCAAAATGAAAGTTATTCTACTAACTTCAGTGGACAGGTACGTCACAGTGGGGGGACAGACAGAACCTCGCACGGGAGTAGCACAAAGCGCATTTTGCATTAAAAAATATTACCACGATTTGGTGAAAAGCGTTTATGATGACCTGTGCAGGGGGGAAAATACACCCACTCGAGTAAGCACCGTGGACACCTCTCTAAAGACAAACAGCAGCGCCAACAAGGTCGTAATATCCAACACAGACGTTAAGGAAATATTAAAATGGATTAAAAGTAAAACTCAGAATGGCGATAATTATCATCAGCATTGTGGCGATGAGTCGTCTGGCGATTATCTCAAAAGGGAGACCATCAAATGGGAACGAATGCTTCTCAATAGGGCCAGCGAATACGTGACTAAGAATAAGCTAGTGGAGTTATGTCCTCTCATCGTCATGAATAGACATGTGAATTCGGATATTTGCAACCAAGCAGAGGAAATTATAAACGATCATTTTGAAAACTTGAATGAGTATTTGCTAAGATATAAAGAAAGAGCAAATGGTATGAACAAGTACGAACAAAGTAAACACAATTTGCATTTTTTCGAAGCGCTAAATCTGTGTAATGAATGCATTTTCACTAATAGGGGTGGTGGAGATATCAAGCAGTTTATGATGAAGAAGAAAGTCTTACTGCACTATATGAATCTCACGGCTATGACAGAAGAAAATAAAAAACATTATTTTTCATTACACGTACATATGCTCCTATTCGACATAAATAACAATTTAGACTTTTTTACAAACCAGCTGCTAGCCAAAATTTCCAATTATGTAAAGACCCCTAATTTGGACTATGAAATTTTTCTTGTAAGCTTTGTCGATATATTTACTTCCATAATAAAAGTGCAACCCAGTTATTACGACTTTTACCTGAGCCAGATATATAAGTACATATTTCCTCAACTCTTTTTTCACTATGAAAAGTTAAACTGTAAAAATTTGTCTCTTTTATTTTATTCCAATTTAGTTCATTTACTTTTACATTTGTATAACCGAAATATGCTCTCATGCCACATCACATTATCCATTCGATTGATGACAACATTGTTTAACCATATTATAAACTCCATGGATGAAAACACCTACAAGTTAACAGAAGCACATTGTTCAGAAGTGTCCTCATGCCATACGAGGGATAGAGACAGAAAAGGGACACCATCATTACTTCTACCTTTGAACGATTTAATTTACCTCTATAGGGTCCTCACAATTTTTCACTTTTCGAATTTATACCCGTACATGGCTGTGCAGGAGCTAAAATGCCTTTACGCGTTTTACAAAGCTTTGAATTTCTTGATTTTCAAAGTGCACAACTTTTGCGTGACCGAGTTTACGCAGACGAATAAAGGTGAGTCGCAGCCGCCCGGTTGAAGGGCCACCTACACGTGTAAATGAGCAATGCATGTGTAAAATACGCATATGTGTCCGTCTTTCTTCCCCCTCCCTTAGGCGCCTCAAACGTGCACACCACCGTAGTGAACTCACTGAATGGTCTGTTCAAGAAAAACAAACAAGTAAAAATGATATGCGAACAAGTTGTGTTCCCGTTATTTATAATAGACATTTTAATTGACCAAAATTGAGAATCTGCACCCCTCAATTGCCCCCCCTCTTTTTTTTTTTTTTTTTTTTTTTTTTTTTTGTGAAATTAAAAAACGCTTTTAAATTCATTTTTAATAAAACTTGAATGTTTGCGATGTTATCATCGTCCGTTTGTCGGAAAAATTTCGACACGTCTTTAAATTTTATCCATTGCAGCAGCAGCAACCACAAAAAAAAAAAAGAAAAAAAGTGAGCGCAAAACATGTAGCGACTCAAATCTGTACACACCTGAACATATGCACCAGTTATCACTTGTTGGTTAGAACATGTAAAACTGCGATTGTGAAAGGGTGTAAACAAATGGGTGATGCATTTCTTCCTGATGGATTTTCTTTAACTCCGTTTTCCCCCACCTCCGTTCTGGCCAATGATTATATTCTGCTCATTCTACATCGTATTAGGACAAAACTTCTTCGAGGAGCTCACCTTTTTTTAATTCTCTTCGTACGCCTCATCGTAGGCCTCGTCCCACGTCCACTTGATCAGCGGCTGCTCAATAAACTGATGGTTTGGGGCCGGCTTATCAATAACATCATTCAAATAAAAGGACATGTATGGGATGACCGTTCCATCTCGCATCCGTGTATACATTTTGCTTAATTGGCTGTCCATAATTTTCAAAACTCTCCTCGCCATATCATCCTTTTCGGAAAATCTCAGTTTCTACGAAGAGGTACACATGATGCAAAAAAAAAAAAAAAAAGGTACATGCGTATGTGTCAACATATGTGCGGTAAGGATACGGATAAAGAATTTTCCCTGGGCAGAAAATGTGTTCACTCTACACACACAACGGGAGAAGACGCAAAAGTGAAAAATAAACGCTGCTGCCTTCTCTTGTTAAGTACCGTCACTCTTCCCAGGCAAAAGTTCGTTTCCTCAATGTACCTATTATACAGGTGTGGAAAAAAAAAAAAAGGAGAATTAGGGCCAACACACGAATATTTATCTTTACATAACCTAGCATACGTGCATCGTACACGTTCAATCACTTATCACTTACCAGTTGTCATCTTTTTTGACCAATTCCTTGTCAGATATGTGCTTCCCTGTGTACCCACTGAAAAAACGCTTTGAACTGTTCATATAGTTCAATTTGATATTTCTCAACTTTGAAATTTTCATTATAAAGAGCGTTCAGAAGATCATTTATGAAATAGTAATTATGCGGGGTACACAATTTTACTGCTTTATTTTAGCTTGCTTTCAGAAAAATAGCTAAAATAGGAGGAAAACAAAAAAAAAAAAAAAAAAAATCCTTTTATGTCATTTTTAATTGGCTCGTTCATATGAAAGAAAAATAAAAACGACCGTAAAAGGAGTAAGTTTTAAAACGGCAAATGCGAAATATGCAACAAGCTGTCAGGTTACCAATTTGGGATGTTTTAAAGAAGATGTATGTCCATTTTTGCGGTTACAATAGAGTGCAAAAAAAAATAAAAAAAAATGTATTCATATATATACACGCACGTAGGTACGTACATATGCTAGTACATTTGCACCCTTTCGGAATGAGAGATAAGAACTATACAGAATATTGTATACTGGTGGTACGCTTTTAAGGCGGTGACGATTTTGTGTTGCGTGTACCATTTATTTCCGTCGAAATGGTATGGGCATTACATATGTGTGCGGCAGTTTATATACATATGATACGCATTATCATTTTCAGCCTTGCTTGACCACGCACTTCAAACGAGGAACGAGTATGGTGCTGATTAGAAGCAGAACGCGTTACAGTTTCCGGATCGCCCCCTTAAATACACACTAGTAAAATTAGAAAAAGGGAAAATTCTGTGCAACAAATGAGTGCCCTGCCTGCCCACATATGCACCGATTACATGGCCGAGGACCAAAAATAATCCCTTTCACGTGTCTGTTTTTTTTTTATTTTACACATTTTCTGTTTATGTTTATGCATGGAGTTCGAAACAAACACACATTTCCTTTGCTTCATCTACATGGCAGAACTGCATCGTTTCATGAATGAGGCAGGAGTGGGGAAACCCATTGTGCGTGTCCAAATGTTTCGAAAGGATGGTAAAATGACGACAGTTTAGCCCTGACTGGTGTACGGTAAGCGGAAAGCCCACGTAAGTGGAAATGAAAAAAGGGACACACGCAAAGGAGGAAAACCAGAAAACGGGAAAAGGGGGAAAAAAAAAGTTATATCAGTAATTTGTATGTTTTTTAAAAAAAAGTGAACAAGTGCGTTCAAATTGTTTTTGTTCAAAGGTGAAAATAAGTGGACACTATCTTTTCTGAAATGTAGGATGAGTACCAAGTTCCGTCTTTGGCTTTTTCTGGCCACATGTGACACAG